CCTGGAAATGTTATAAATTGGTCTTTGCTATGATAAATTAATGGCATAAGTTGCATAGATCTATAGCGACAATGTATTACTAAAGGTATGGTTATTATGTAAAAATTACCTGGTAAATGAGATTTGACTACATGTTTTATCTCAGGGTAATATAGATACAATATATGTTAAATAATGAAAAAATTCACCTCTCTTGCCCCTTAAATTTGAAAATTATCAGTGTGCACAAAAAATTATTTCAGTATTCCCTTGTGGAGAACAATAACTAGCCCAAATCAAATTTGACTAGTCTGTACAGTTTATAACATAAAACAATAAACTTAATATATTCAGTCTTGTTCTTGTCCATTTTACTTCATTCTTTTATAAACTCTTTTGCAGTATGTGAAGTGTATGAAAATTTTACTACAGACAAACTGGGCTAGTTCTGACACACTTCTACTTGTCCAATCAAGTTTTTATTAGTGTTTGGGAATCAGGCTAGGCCTTTTGGCGCAAACTGAATTGTTCCAAATTTATTAACATTAAATAATTGACTTTGATGCAAACTGCAGTAGATTTATATTTTGAGAGAAATGAACTGGCATGATGTATCTTACACTAGGGGTCATGTGCAATGCATCTTTGAATGACATTATTAGCTTTTGTACTAACAGTTTTCTCTCTGCAATATCCAATTCTCTATTGGGAAACCTTTGTCTTGTATTGTTGTCTTATCAGTGTCATGTTAGTGGTCATGGGATACACAAGAAGTGATAATTGTGTTTTCTAACTGGATACTGTTCACAATATGAGGGAATTATAAAGTCAGGAGGCTTAGAGGAAGAATTTAATCAAGAATGTGCGAGATTGGTACATTGTACAAATTACTGGTAGGTGTAATGTCTGTTTCAAGATTCCAGGGAAAATACTTTCAACAAATTGAATCTAAGTCAGTGATGTTTTGGCAGAATAGCAGTTTTTCTCAAGCTCCTCAACCCTGAAAAATATAGAAAAACGAGATCAAATGTGAAAACACAGAAATTAAACCAAAAAATAGAGAGTTTGTTGGTAATTTTATAATTAACAAGAAGTAAAAGCTTTAAAGCCAACTCCATTTAGAATTAGCGGGGTTCTGAGGAGGTCTAATTACGTAGATAAAGCTCTCAGAAGAAGCCAAGTCTGTGAAACGCTCCATGTTTTGTAACCTATGCTCTTGTTGATGAGATTCTAGCTAACTCCTATTCATTATAACTCAGCAATAGTTTCTACAAGATTTCATCACTATTAAAGCCAATGTGCTGGAAATTTTAACAATACTGAAACTTTTGAGTTAGGTGTACCTTATATTTAACGTAAAATGAGTAGAATTTTCAAATTGATTATCAGATCAATATTGATAATGAGGGCCTCCATGGGAAATTGTCTATACTCAGCTCTCAGTGAATGTTTCAACCTTTTACGTACTGTCCATGTGTTCTGAGTGAGTTTCATTTAAACTACACCCATAGGGTGGCACACATTTAGCAAAACATTTTTTAAAGTTCTCTCTCAGAAAATTGGTATTGAAGGAAATGTCTTTAGAATTAATTTTCATCAAAAACAAGACTTAAATCTTTCAAAGAAATAACTCAAGTAGTATTATATTCTCAAATATATCAAGAAGTGTAAAATTTAAGTTTATTTAACAATTGTTCATATGTTACCAACTTAGAAAAGGGCATAAATTTCATTAATAATGTATATATTAATGCAAATTAAGGTTCTTTTGAAAATTATTTAAGAACATGCAGGCAGACTGTATATTTCTTTAATTCCTTGGTAGGTAGAATTATGTATCTGCTGGTGGTGGGCTTTCTTGTTTATTCAAATTATGGCTCATTAGGTTCAAATCATTTGAATACAAAAGAAAAAAAAATCTTCAGAAGTACTAAAACAATTTGTAAATATTTATTAACTGATCGACTGAGAAAAAATGGCCCAACTCAAAACTGTTTAAACCTCCAGGTCACAATTTTTGAAAATTGATGTCGGAATTTTATCATCCAAAAGACAACTATTTTAATTATATTAATACCTTCAATTTCAATAAATTTTGAAAATTCTGCATTGATGTTGAAAATTTCGGAGAATTTTTTTTTTCTCCTACCAAATTACCAATTTTTTTTTAATCCTGAGTCGAGATAGGGCAAGCAATCATTATTTTAGAGATGGCCTAATTTATTTGTTTTAACACTAATGATTATCCCAAAGATATCTATAAATTTATAAAATGCACACATTTCAGATTATTTTGTTTACAGTTTAAAATGAAATTTAGAAACAATTACTGAGGATAAAATTCACAACATACATTAGCAAATAATTTTTTTTTTCTGCATAGTTTGCATTGGTTATACCCTGTATAAAACAACAAAGAAAGGCATTTTATTGTTTTTATTAACATTTTTTCATTAATTCTTTCATGTCAAAAGACTGAAAGTGGAAATTGATTTGCACATTACATATATATAGGAGATCACCAAATTTTTTCGAAATCTTTTTTTTTTTTTTTCGTGAGAAGGTTATTTGGTATTTACAAGCGAGACAAAATTTTCACAAATTCTGGATATTGTTATATATGATCTTTTATAATGAAAATTTATGAGAGAATGAAATTTTTGTGAGCACAAGGTCCTGCGTAATTATATGCGATAAAGTAGACTTCTAGTGAATAAAAAGTGATTAATTGTAAATGGAAGAGCAATGTCAAACAGTTAACCTTTAACACTTCTTCTGGGAGTTATAGTAGTTTAGAAAACAATTGCCTTTATTGCTCCAGATTAAACAGCAATGAGGTTTTCATAAGGAGAAAATATCCAGCAGATGTAAATATTTTACAGGAATAAAAACAGTACAATATAAGTAAGCCATGAAAGCATTTCTGAATCATTTTTACTAAATCATTTACGTATTTAATCATTTTTCATTTTCATCAATAAAACAAGATGGATGGGTAGGCCTGAGTATGTAAAATGAAGTGTATATAATACAACTATACATACTCTGAAATGATCATGCTGTGAAATATTTACCAGCACAAAGAATGAATATTGATGAAAAAAGTAAAGGGCTAACATTTTAAAAGAGAGATCTTGTACTTTCTTTTCAAAACCTTTCTGGATAGATTATCCTGAAAAAATAATTGACAATTCGATCAACATCAAATATTTACTTTAAGTGAATTTAACATTGTTATCATTTGTCAATAGGCCTGGAACTATTTCATGTACCTGAAAAAAATTGCAAGTATGATTTAATAACAAGTATGATTTAATAAATGTTTTATTTACATTGATTGATTTTTGCAATTTTCTGCTCATTTCAAATAATATCTGGAAAGATAGGCATAATTTCCAGTTGGTAGTACAATGTAAAGTTGAACTTCAGTGTTAATCATTTGTTGCTGTAGAGAATTGGGAATGTGTTTTGAAAAGTTTAAAATATTGCATGTAACATGTCAAACTTATTCTGTAGATAAAACATAGCAACCATGTATGTTACAAATAGAGCAGATTTATCAAAATTCCTGATCTGACTGGTTTTCTATCCTTGGGAATGATAAAGCTATTGCATGAGATTGATTTGACAATTTTCCTTGTGTTAATTTTATGAAATCCATAATGATATTGCCAGTATCCATTTGTGTTACGTATTGCTATCTAGGGAAATCAGTTTCATCTGTTTAATGTTTCTAGCAATAGACTGAAACATAATATTGAGCATTGATTTATAATTCACCTGTCATGGATTCACGGAAGAAATGTGCATCTGTGACTTTTATGAAATTCTTAGTTTTAATTGGATTTTGTATGACAGATTGGAACATGGTTTGTACATGCAGGGGATGAAACTCTGTTCAGTGTAATATGTATGTTAGCTTTAGTGCCCCTATGGGTCTCTGAAGATGCCATTATCCTGTGAAGTTAAATAATTTGCAAGTTTTGTACATATAGAATTTTCTATCATTGTTAGAACACACCAGATATTATAAACTCGTAGGTGACTTGAGATCATATCATAAAGGTTATAATGCATCTTTTGTTAGTTTTTGAAATTATATACAAAGTAAATACAGGTATTTGTAATACTGGTAAGTTTATAAGTTGTTGAATTAGAATCAAGTTGAACATCTGATATTTCTATCCAGCATGAAAGAGTTTTTTTTCATCCTTTTTGTGTATATGGCTTAGAGACTGAAAGAAAAGAATTAAAAACCTTTGGAAATGCCATTGTGTCATTAAGCAGTATTGGATTTGTTTTATGTCTGTGTGTGGCTCTTGAGGGACTGACTTTACATATGTTTTAGAAGCAAGTTCAGGTGTTAAGAAATCATCGTGATGGCTGGCTTCCTCTAACATTGCACTCAGATTAAACAAATATCATCCACATTAAATAAATGTTGGGCAATTGGTTGAGAAAATAATCTGATGTGTTTGTCTAACCATTCAAAACAAGTCATTACTTCTCTCCAACGGATACCCAGTACACCGGTCTTTACAGGAGCCTTAGGAGGGAAGTGTCAGTCATACACACAGGCTAACATTAACTCGGAAAAAGGATTCCTTAGAAGTATAGAGTTGGTCCTCTTCCAGGGATATAATTCCATAGTGGAATATGGAAGGAGAGAATGATTGCATGTGAAGGCAGAGGTTTTAGCAAAGAGTGTTATTGATCTGAGTTGGTCAGTGAATTGCCTGCTTATTAACGCGGAATGTCAGGCTTCTTGCTCTGCCATTTACCAGTATAGACTTGTAAAAACAACAAATCTCTTCATCAGTACCGAAAACCACCCATAATGATATCTCCTGGTATATACTCATACTGAACACTAGTCTAGTAATCAACATGCATGCATTAAGTGATATTACATGAAGTATTGAGTATTTTTGAGGGAGTTTGACAGTAGTGACCATTTTATTCTTGTGGGGAGTGGATCAGGAGAGGATCTAATTAAAGTGTTTTGTTTTTGACAGATGGAGTGAAGTGGTGCGGATAACTGGTGGAAATGGGAGAGCCAGCCTCCTCCTCCTCCAGTCACCAGGACAATAGCAAGGCTCCCCCAGGTAAATATGTTACAGTCAAAAAACATTACAGCGCAAGGGACATTTAGTTCTAATTTGTTAAAATCATGTAATTTATTTTGATAAGTTCATAGTCAGAGTTTAATTCAGGGAAAGAAATTAAATCACTTTGCTATGTGTGAATTTGTTATAAACATGATCATTGTAAAGCAAGCATGTTCTTCTGTATTTTATGTCACAGTACAGTTTATTTCTATGTAAAGCTGTCACAATGCTTCTATTTTTAGATCAGTGACATTCTAATTATATCTGTTAATTACAGATAAATATAATTTAAAATATGTCTTATTTGCAAATTTCTGATGCTTTTTTTTTCAAAAAATGTTTTTTGTTTGTTGTTTTCCTTTTTTTTTTATCTTAGTTAACTTGGATGCAATATAAAAATTTGCAAAGTATTTTGCTTCAGCAGTGAATACTGTATGTGTACATAAATTAACGTATTCAAAATTTAGCGCAATCACCAGGTATGGAGTGGTTGGCGTAGTCATGAATTAGCACTACACATGTAGTGCTAAAAAATAAAAAAAAGTTGTACTTATTGACTATGAGTTCAAGTAAAATTTTAATATCTTACTCTAATAATTTTTAAACATAGTATTAGATTATTGCTATTCAATTATCGTGTCCACCTGACTGAAAATGAGCCTAAGGTATTTATTGTGCAGTCGTATTTTTATTATTGAGCATTTAATTACCATTTACTATTAATTAAAACAATTAACTTAAGATTTTCTAATCCAGGAGGATCAATAATGTGTAATTATATATGTTAGAATAGCATTGTGTAACTAATACTGTATGTACATGACGTACATGTATATATACATTGTCGAGGTTCACATACATCTATGCGGGTCGACACGATTGAACTGAATGGTCCAAGTGACAAATGCCAATAACCCATTTTATATTACAATTAAATTTAATTTAAAGTGAATTTTGGGGAAAAATCACATTACATAGATATATATTTACATACGTTTATATATGCCTATTGCTTGGTGAAATAGATGACAACTAAATCGGGTTTGATGTTCGAGGCCTGATAAAATGGCAGGTCGAAGCAAGTAATGAAACACATCATTTCGTATTCATTTATTAACGGTAATCATGAATTAGCGCATCGCTGCGCCAAAGCCGCTAAAATATGAAGCCCGCTTTTTTAAGTACGCATAAAGTATGTTTACTTATATATATATATATATATATATATATATATATATATATATATATATATATATATATATATATATATATATATATATATATATTGCAAAGAACCACATGCATTTGTTTTTTTATTTTAGGGACCCTCAGTTTCCATTTGTTTCTTTTTCCATTCACCTTGTGCATCATCTTGTACCAGACATTTTGTATTCTCATGAGTATTCATGTTCTTATACATTTATAAACATGATAAACCCATCAAAATGGCTTTCTCTTGTTGCAGAGGTAATGGCCACATCTGTGAAATTAGGTGTATTTATCGGATGATTATGATGATAACACAGATCATAATACATGTACATTGTATCTTTTTTTCTAGTAATTTTTTTACTTTGTTTACTTGAATGGTCTTAAATTTCTTTATTGACTCTAACCCTTAAATACAAATCTAAGTTTTAGCTCATCTGAGCTGAAAGCTCAAGTGAGGTTTTCTGATCACCTGTTGTCCAGCATCTAGCCATCTATCTGTCCATCCCTCCATCATTCTGTTAACTTTTTACATTTTCAACTTCTCTAAGAACCACATTAATTGCCTTTTTTTAACCAGAGTTGGCACAAAGCAGCTTTGGTAAAGGGAATTTTAAATTGTTCAAATGAAGGGCCAAGCCTGCTTCCAAGGGGAGATAATAAAAAAAAGGTAAAAATAGGGTGAGGTCATTAAAAAATCTTCTCAAGAACCACTGGACTTGAAGAAATGAGACTTATATGAAGGTTTTCTGAGGAAGTTAGATTGTATATTGTTCAAATTATGACCTCAGAGGTTAAGGTCACAATAAGGGATCAAAGTTTTACATTGAAATATATAAGAAAATTTTTAACAATCTTCTTCTCAAGAATCAGGAACCAGTAGACCAAGAAAAAAAGATGAAACTTATGTGAATGATTCCTGAGGTAGTTTAGACTCTGAACTGTTCAACTCATGGCCTCCAGAGGTAGTGTGGGGTCACAATAGGGGATCAGAGTTTTGCATGGGACTACATAAAATTTTAAAAAAAATCTTCTAAGAAACACAATAGAACCATTAATTTGCAGACATTCCCATGTTATGTGAATTTCATTTTTTTTTTTTTAAATTATGGACCATGGGTTAGGGTTGGTTAAAACCAGGATCAAGTTTTATGTCATTCTTGTAAACAGGAAGAGAATTTTCTTCTCCAGTCTTGCAAGTCAGTGTTAGTTATATTGACATTGAAGCATCCCCATGGAGTGTAGATTCAGAGACCCCTTTAAAAGAGTTAGAGTGGGGCCATAATATTGGGTCACAATTTTTCAAGGGAATATAAAAATCTTTTGGATTATGTGTGGAAAAAGTAACTTGGGTGAGCTTTGTGGCCCTTGTGCCCTCTTGTTTGAAGTTTTGTTTAGGTGTGGATGGTTGGTTATCTTCTTAGACTGAATTTTTGGGTGCTTTGAAAGGGTGTTCTGATTGGTCAGATTTGCATTATTCTTTTATGAAGCAGTCAATATATATATATGATATATATTTTCATGAGAACAAGAAAATCACAATATATAGTTGACCCACAGTTAATGGAGAAATGACAGACATGTCCTTCTGACAATGCAGAAAACCTTTCTAGTCCAGTGAAATATTAGGTTATCAATGAATATTTTTCATTGAGATTGAAAAATGTTTCTTTTATTGTTCTTGTGTTTAATTAATTTTTACCTCTGAATAGTTGGGAATAATGATTTTAAATATTGATTGTTATACCTTTAAAAATTAGTTCCTATATAAATCTATACTAAAAAAAGTCTAACATTCCTAATGTTTTACTGAGCGGTCATAAAAAAATCGATGTTTGACCGCAGAGAGAGATATTGGACCTGTGGACGAGATATTGGACCACTTACGTCACACTGTGGGCGGGATTTCTAAATCTTATTTGCATTCGTTGGTATGGAAGCCAGAGGCAAAAGAGAAATGTATTACAAAAATAAATAAATAAAAGGTATAACAAAACATTTATAGACTGTGTTCTTAGGCAAATGCGTTTTGTCGACCCCTCGAACCAAACTGTTTGCCTTTGGCCTAACGGCCTCAGGCAAACAGTTTGGTTCTTGGGTCCGACAAAACGCATGTTGCCCTCGAACCCAGTCAATAAATGTATAATATTAGACGGAAAATGAAGCATAAGCCTTTCTTTTAAAAATAAAGAATATATTGATACATGTACATGTATCTTATGGAAGAACTTCTTTCTGATGTATGAGCTGACATTGGTTAATGGAGTTTCTTAAAATTTCAGGAATCAAGGAGTGGGTACTCCCAAAGCAGCTGGAAGATATCAGACCAGCAAGGGACTGTCCCCAATACCGACATCGCTGGAACACCAATGAAGTAAGCTGAAGAGTAGTTGATAGGCTTTAATCTTAGTAAGAGTTTTGAGATTTATAGCTAATGTTTTACCAGCTGTGTAAGAGTAACATTTTCCAAGTGAGGGTATCAGTTTTTATCACATTCATATTATTATTCTTGACAACTTTTCAACTTTTAGTCTTCAATTTACAGAATACATCTAATATAAAAAAAATTTCAATGTAGAATGTAGAAGTTCTTAAAGAAACTGAATTAAAGTTTGTTTTCTTGCTTTGGGAGATGCCTGACACACCTGATGTTTTTAATCATCTTAAAATTGAGGAAAATAAATTTCTGGTTGGCCAGCCAGGAATGCAATAGAAGATCTTTACTGTTTATACTTGCACATTTCTCCTACAAACCCTGACAGTTCTTTTCTCCATTTAGGGTTGTATTTAAACTTTATTATTTGAATTTTAATTATTTCTATGAAAAATTTAAATAATCAAATAATTATGAATTTGATTTACTTAATGTATTTACAATTACATGTAGAATATTACTACACTGAATTAGGTAATAATAATAATTTTTGGTAGACACTGTACAATATTGTAATAAAAATAGATAAAGGGAAAGCTAGGAGAGATCTTGGTGTAAGTTTTCATCAAAAGACAAATCATACTTCAAAGAAATGGGTTTACTATTTGGATTAGGATTTTGCCTATCCTTGTGTCTGCATTTCCTGTTATAACTAGACTATCTCCCAGGAGTCTTTTCTTCAAAGGGATTGTCTATAGATATGGTATATTTATATGGCTATCAATAAAAAAAAATTATCAAAAAAAAACTTTTGCCAAACTTGGGAAGAGTTAGTTCAATCAGTGAATTTCTGTCAGTACATGGATTTACTTTAAATAAATTAGCCTTCATCTTGATTAGTCTCTGAATTTTGCATTTGTTGATTAAATTCAAAAAATATTCTCATTTTTGCTAATTAACTTAATAAATTCCTTTGCAATAATTCCTAATTATTAAATTTACAGAGAGCTCATAAATAGTTGTGCTCTGCTGTGAGATTTGACAATTGATTTTCATGGAGAGTTAAAAATCTATTGTGAAATTACTGGAAATAAATTCCTCTACACAGAACTTGTGCTTAGTCAGATGGAATTCAGAATATATTCATTACATGTGATAAGATCTTAAGGGTTAGGGTGCATTCTGATGGTGTTGTGTACCTGCCTTCTCAGAGAAAAAATCTGTTGCCAATGAACAAAGTCATAAATACCTGTACTGCTCTTAAAGTCTGCTAATAGCTTAAGTATAAAGCAGGTCGTCAGCAGTAATTTGTAGTTCAGATTTAAGAGGTCTTAAACTTCTTAAATAATCTGCATCACCGTCATTTTCTGACTGAAGTGATTAAGGTTTACTAAAGTATTCTTTGCCAGAAAATGGCTGATGATTCTAGAGTTATTCTAAGGTCCATGCAGGGTTTTCTTATTTCAAAGTTATAACACTTTTTCTGTTTTTTAATTGTAATTAATTTTTTTTTTAACATACACGTATTAAAAAACAAACAATTTTATTGGGTTTTTTTTAGATGTATTTTAAAGTCTGTTCATAACACTTAATATATGTAACTATATGTATAATATGTTTAGCTAAAATTGGCAATCTGTAATTAAGAGATGTTTTTCATTTCAGTAAAATAATTTAATCCACCAGATTAGTGCATGTAGTGGGCTATTAAATTCAAAACATTGTCATTTTTGTAAAATTGCTAAATGAAATCCATTTTAAAAGAAATAACTTTTCAAAGTTACAGAAGACTATAAGAAATAACAATCAGTATTACTGATCACAGAAGTTAATTAAACTTGGATAAAAATAAATTTTTAAAAAAAGGTACTTGCATGATTTTATTTAAAGTATATGTTGTCTTTTCTATGTTTTCAATTATTGTTCATTAAAGGTAAATGTAGGTTAATTGTTTTATAATTATTACCTTTTTGAAATCTTCTTATGAATTAAAGGAGGCAGGACATCGACATGTAGAAAGCTGTTAGCTTGTATGATATGCAGATAAAGAAAAAAGGCTAATATTATTTACTGAACTCTGTATCTTTTAGATTAAGTGAAACTAGTGCAGGCCAAATTGATTTATTATGAAGCACATGTATAATTGTAGAAATGCTGAAATTAGGCACGTTACGAGGAAAGAATCAATTCTTCCTCTATATCTAATTCCCTTCTCGTACAGAGAAACTTCCATATCAATTTTGTGTTGTCCCTGATTTATATACTGCTTGGCAAACTGCGAAATGAAAATGTTAGAATTTGTCATTTTTAGCTCTACTGATCAGAGACCAGATGAGCTTATGTGATAGTAACTAAGGTGTCCATTGTCCCTCTGTCTAGCTGTTTGTAAACAATTTTTCAAAATGCTACTGCTCCTACAGTTTTGGTCTAATATCAATATTACGTGACACACAAGTAGATTACACTAAGGTACATAATTCTATATACTGTAAACCAACTATTATTTGCGTCAACTTTTATTCGCGATTCGTCGGTTTGAAATCAATCCACGACGATTAATTTTCGCGACTGAGGAAACATTCTCTACAAATACAAAGCAAAGTAAATGGTTCACGGCAATAAATATTTGCGAGTTGGAGTGGGTCGCGAAACTCGCGAATATTTCTCGCACGCGAATAAAAGTTTGTTTACAGTAAATTATCCATTTTTGATTTCGATGAACAGTGATTCCATGATAACTAAAAATAAAAATTTCTGTAAAATACTTTCAAAATGCTACTCCTTCTAGAGTTTTTGTCTGATTTCAATATAACTTGGCATACAAGTAGACTACAGTAGGATACATAGTTCTGTATATCAATTTTTTATTTCAATGAACGGTGATTCCATGGTTACTAAAAAGAGAAAAATTTCTGTAAATTCTTTCAAAATGCTACTCCTCCTACAGTTTTTGTATGATTTCAGTATAATTTGGCACACAAGTAAACTACACTAATGCCTTGTTCACATAGAGAGTTTAATTCCAATGAAACGTAAGTTACTTTGAATTAAAATTGAGCCGTGGAGAATTTAATGTAAATAAATTTAATTTGAATTAATTTACTGCGCATCAGATTACTTTGCATTAGCTCCATGTTAACGCTAAGCGAAGCTAATTCGAATTAAATTCTGATGCTTAGCAAAATTATCTACATGTATTACTACTAAACATCTTTAATTAATTGTCCTGGTGTAAAGGTGTGTACATATACCTGTGATAATTACTGTTATTAACCTAGGACTAGCAGGTGCAATTATGCATGACATGAGTACCTCATTATATCCGATAGCTCTTTCTACTAACCAGGACTGATTTTGACCTTGTTATAAGCAGAATCTTGTTGTAAGCGATCTGGTTATATCCGACATTTTTATAAGGAATTATATAAGGATTAATTTGGGCAGCTGGGACTCAAAATTTATCTTGTTGTAAGCGGTATCTTGCTATATCTGATCTCGCAATACCTGGAGTCCACTGTAATTTTTTTTTATCGGTTTTTGATTTCCATGAACAGTATTGCCATGTTTACTAAAAATAGAATTTTTTGTGAAATACTTTTAAAACCCTACTCCTCCTACAGTTTTGGTCTGATTTCAATATAACTTGGCACACAAGTATACTACACTTAGATAGATAATTCTGTTTATTGTCTTTGATTGCCATGAACAGTGTTTCCATGGTTACTTGAAATATAAACTTCTGTGAAATACTTTCAAAATGCTATTCCTTTTGTCTGATTTTAATATAACTTGGCACACAAGTAGAAAACCAGGTATACTAAAAAACATAATCTGATTGCAATAAATTTTAAAACAAATAGATACTTATAATCAAGGATCATTATTCTTTTTATTGCTTTTGCAAAGTTTCAAGTCCAAGTGTTACTTTCTCTTCCTGTGTAATAAGTACATGTACAAACCACTAGAGCTACAGTCTTGTCAGAAACTGCTGGACTACATGTACATCAATATTTGAATGCATTGCTGTAGTTCAGTCAAATTTTTGTTGTAAATAACATGTAGATGTATAGTCTGTATACCTATTTTGATACATAAATTTGTCCTGTTAACTACCACAAAGTTTCAGGAGATATTAGGCTATGATAACTTTGACAATTTTAGGTATCCCTCTTTATCCCTCATTCAGATATCCCTCATTAGGTATACATATTCAAGGACAACTTTTATCTATGTCTTGTCTATTTTATATCATTTTTTTTTGTATGGTGTATATGAACCAAGTTAGCTTTGTTGATGAATTTATTGATATTTAGCTCACCTGAGCCAAAGGCTCAAGTGAGCTTTTCTGATCAAAATTTGTCCGTTGTCTGTCGTCGTTGGCGTTGTTGTCGTTGGCGTAAACTTTTCACAATTTCAACTTCTTCTCCAGAACAACTGGGCCAATTTCAACCAAACTTGGCACAGAGTATCCTTGGGTGAAGGGGATTCAAGTTTGTTCAAATGAAGGGCCACGCCCCTCTCCAAGGGGAGATAATTACGATATAGCAAAAAATTAATGGCATTATTGAAAAATCTTCTTCTCAAGAACCAATGGGCCAGGAATGATGAAACTCATGTGGAATTATTGTCAGGTAGTTTAGATTCAAATTTGTTCAATTCATGACCCCCAGGGGTAGAGTGGGGCCACAATGGACGATCAAAGTTTTACATAGGGATATATAGGAAAAATCTTCAAAAATCTTCTTCTCAAGAACAGCAAAGCCCTAATTGGTCATATTTATGTGAAAGCATCCTCAGGTAGTGTAGATTCAAATTTGTCCAAATCATGACCCCCGGGGGTAGGGTGGGGCCACAATGGAGGATCAAAGTTTAACATAGAAATATATAGGAAAAACCTTTAAAAATCTTCTTTTCAAGAACAGCAAAGCCACAATAAGTCATATTTATATGGAAGCATCCTCAGGTAGTGTAGATTCAAGTTTGTTCAAATCATGACCCCCGGGGGTAGGGCGGGTCCACAATGGAGGATCAAAGTTTTACATAGAAATATATAGGAAAAACCTTTAAAAATCTTCTTCTCAAGAACAGCAAAGCCATGATGAGTCATATTTATATGGAAGTATCCTCAGGTAGTGTAGATTCAAGTTTGTTCAAATCATGACCCCCCTGGGGTAGGGCAGGGCCACAATGGAGGATCAATGTCTGAAATAGAAATATATAGGAAGGTATCTTCTGATGAAGAACTGCAAAGCCATGATTAGTCATTTTGATATGGAAGCATCCTCAGGTAGTGTAGATTCAAGATTGTTAAAATGATGACCCCCGGGGATAGGGATGGGCCACAATGGGGGATCAAAAAATTTTTACATAGGAACATATTGGATAATATTTTCTTCTCAAGAAATGAAAATCATGTTTAGTCATTTTGATATGGAAGCATCCTCAGGTAGTGTAAATTCAATTTTTTTTTCAAATGATAACCCCCAGGGGTAGGGTGGGGCCCAATGGGGATCTAAAGTTTTACATAAGAACACATAGAAAAAATATTTCTTCTCAAGAACAGAAAAGCTATGTTTAGTCATATTGATATGGAAGCATCCTCGGATAGTGTAGATTCAAGTTTGTTCAAATGATGACCTCTGGGATAGGGAGGGGCCACAATGGGGAATCAAAATTTTACAAAGGAATGTATGGGAAAATTTTTTTTAAAATCTTCTCAAGTACAACAAAGCCATTTGTTATATTGACATGGAAGCATCATCAGGTAGTTTAAAATTCAACCCCCCCCCCCCCAACCCCCAGTAATCTTTTCAATACTGAACTGATTTGTGTCTAGCTAATGTGCTCAGGTGAGCGATGTGGCCCATGGGCCTCTTGTTTGTCTTTGAAAGCTGCTTCTGGTGTAAAATTTGATTCTTCACTGTGTTTAAGTTTTTTTCATACCACCCATAGTACATTAGAAAATGAATTTATCTTTATTCATTTAAACATAAAGCAAGAAATAGAATTTCAGTCAGCAGAATTGTAAGTTGAAAAAAAAGTACATCAAAAAAATATAAAGAGCTAATTATTTCATTTGTTTCTTTAATAAGGAAATTGCATCCATTTTGATTGCCTTCTCCAAACATAAGGAATGGCTAAAGATGGAAATGAAGATTCGGCCACCAAGTGGTTCTATGTTGATGTACAGCAGGAACCGCGTAAGGTACCGCAAAGATGGCTACTGCTGGAAAAAGAGAAAAGATGGCAAAAACATTAGAGAGGACCACATGAAGCTTAAAGTCCAGGGTCTTGAGGTGTGTAATATTTCCCATTACTTGTGTTCTAATTTTACTGCAGGTTATTAAACACTGCAAGGAAAATGAGATATTAGGCTACATTCAGAGTTATGAATTATGTAATTCTGATTTACTGCACATTTTAGTCTTAGTGACTTAAAAATCAAGCAGTAAAAATGCATATAAATTTGATACCATATTAGTCTTGTAAAGTATGAGGTAGAATTTATTGCTGTTGTTTTATATATCTTTCAATGAACAGATGAATAACATCCTATCTTGTCATATAAGTAAAGGAAAGTAATATAGATAAACCACATACATAATAGAAATAAACCATGTACATCTAACAAATAGACCACGTACATAGTACATCTACTTGCATGATTATATTTTTAACATTAGTTGCTCTGTATTTTCCCCCTGATTGAAGTTTCCAGAGTTTATAGTCCACTTTGTATGATATGCAATCAAGTATTTTTTTCAAATTAATTTCATGGGATGAAAATGTTGCTTTCATACACCTGTGTCCTTTCCACACAAAGTTTAAATGGGGAGAGGTATGAGTGAGTCACATGTCTGTCTGTCTGTGAGTTGGTGTGTTCCATTAATAGACACTAGGCTGTAACTTTGTGATGGAGAAATACATGCTTATGGCTTTGAGGTTTTACTTGTATATCATAAACATGCCTCTTTTAATGGTAACAGTTTAGGAATGCAAAATTATCTTTGATTTGCAATTGTGAGCTCTGGACAAAGGACCAAGGATTGCTCATGACAGTATGGTGTGATATGACACTTTGCTAATGTCTTTGCAGAAGTTTTAGGTCACAATGATATGCAAAATATAGATTCATATCTGGACTTTGTAAAATGAACATACTTCAAAAGCTCTTAGCTTGACGATTGATTATGGTCAGATTAAAACTACTGACCATAAATCAAGGTAATTTGGATGAGATTAAGGTCTAAAAGATTCTTTCTAGGTCTACTTTTATTTGTGATGCAGGTTTGTTTTTAGATGCTGAAGTTGCACCAGTACAAGTGATTCTTTTTGTTTGTGTCAGAAACATTTATGTAATATTCTGTTGCTGACTCAGCAGTGTGAGAGTTATGTTGTGTTGTATATTTGCAGTGTATCTATGGTTCTTATGTCCACTCAGATATCCTACCAACATTCCATAGGCGATGTTACTGGTTATTACAGGTGAGTTAGTAGTTTACCTCACTCCTCTTACACTGAATGACTGCAGTATACAGAATAGCAGGGTAACATGTGTTAGGTGCAGGTTTTGCCATATCTCTTTCTTGGAAATGATGCATACTTAGCTGTATACAAAGTTTGTATTCAAGTTGTCAACAGTATGTGTGTTTATCTCAGCAACAATGTAGAATAATGTTGTTTTTAAGACATGAACTGAAGCCTCTCCCACTAAAACTCAGACATGAGCAATCTTTTAATCATCCTTAGTGCTACATTTTTGCAGATAAAACAAACTATTAAATTAATTTTTCGAAAATGCCAAGATCATTACTTTTTTGGTGTGTCATGCACTTGAATAATTTAGTGTAAAGAAATTTTAAAATGAAAACAAAAAAATTATAGAAAAATATCTGCATGTTCAGTGCCAAAAATGTGGAAAATAAAAAAAGTAGTATATAATTATTAGCAGTATTAGCAGTAAGAGGTTTCAGTATTTCAAACCAAAAATAGACATTGATTTTAGGAAGATGAAGACTCAACTTTCATAAAAGTTCAAAATACATAGAATTTCATTTTCCATTAATAATGCAGCTAATTATTAAAATTGTATGCAGGTTATGACTTTGGAGCTCTTGATTCAAACTTGAGTCGTTGCTGCTAATGACAAGGTCTGTCATGACCTTGATTCAAGGTCATAACTCAAGGTCACTGGGCAATTAGGTGAGGCCCTGTATGACCCTGAGAAGGCATAAAACATCACTATTTCTAGTTTATATTGATATAATACTTTTTTATAACAGACCATTACATACTGGCTAAGCTCAAGCCTAGTTCTTTTAAAACCTTTTCACACTAACAAAGTGCTGTTCTTTGACAGAACCCAGATATTGTCCTGGTTCATTACCTGAACATCCCATACCAAGACAACACAAAGGTTAAGATTCCTGTCGTACCCCAGTACACATTGGAGAAAAAAGAGTGGACCAAAGAGGAACTTGTAGATCAGCTGAGACCAATGTGTGAGTGAAGAGGGGTGGGGTGGGGGCAAATTGAAACCCTTTATATTGACCAAAATTCATGTTTAATGTGAGTGTAAAGGGAAGATCCTTTATGTGTATAATCCAAGATTCATATTTAATGTACATATGTAAGGGACACAAATTTGGCTTGAGTACTCAGACCATATTGAATGGGATTTACTGAATTCAAAATTAGAGATGCTGAATTAAGAGACAGTTATTTTGTTAAAGAAAACATTTTTTTTAATCATTACTTCATGCCATGTTTTTAGTTTCCACTGGCCAACCAGGAGAAGAATCAGAACAGATGGTAAGATTTATTTTTTCACATTGTAAACAGAAAGTTACTGTATATTTACACAAAAAGAATGAATTTACATCATTTTTGATCAAACTTTTATGCATCCAACAATTCCAATTCCTCTGATAGAGATACATGTATATTAGAGTAATGAAAAGTATCAGTGTTACTGTTATTTCAGAAACATCAATATTTATAGAAATGCAATTATTGTAGAATCCATAATTTTCCAATGTTGATTATTTCCCAGGTGAAATAGCTTGGAACAGATAATGAAATAAAGTGATTTGGATCAATTTTTGTTCCAGATTGATGAGACGGTGGAGGCTTTAGTTAAACATTTGATTGAATACCATGAGAATGCTAACAAGTTTGTGAAAGATAAAACCTCTTTGGCAACTGGTGATAAAACCCCCAGGGAAACACCTGCTAACATTATTAAAGGTCTCCGCCCACATCAGTACCAAAAAAAGCAAACTGGGAGTCCAAGTGGGGGGAGTTCTCATGTTATACACCATAAACCTGAGGTGGCACATGTTCCTTATTTGTTGAATGTTGGCGGGAACTTGCATGTACCAGGAAGTAGTTATTTGCTTGTAAATGGACATGGTGGATCAGAAAGTGGACATTCCACCCCAGGGCTTGTGATGCCTGAGGGTGGGGGTTTACAAGTGACAAGGCCTGATGGCAATGCACTGGTTTCCTGTCCGGGTGCATCAGGGGCCTCTGTTCAAACTGAGGCCCCTCACATAGACTATCAAAGTGTTCAGGGCTTACACAGTGCTTGTTCCCTTACAGATATATGTGATAACAATAGTAAACTAGTCAGCTCAATAGAGCAATCTCTCTTAAACTCTAGTAAACGAGAAGACCTCACACCAATGCAATTATCTTCAGAAAGCTGCTCTCCTATGATTGGGAGCAGTAACATTAACAAACCTGAAATGAACCTAGTCCCATATCTCAAATCAGTAACTGCCGAGGATGTTCAGCATGTTATCAGATCTCATTCTGAACAGAACAAGGAGAAATCCAAAGGGGTTCCAAATGAGCTAGAACATGACCCACTGAGTGCTAGCTTTGGTTCCTCAGACTTTGACAATCTTGATCTTGAACTCCATGACATTGAGAAGTTATGTAGTTTTCTAGAGACTCCAGATGATCCTTCATCTCAGGGTATGGTCGGATCTATTCCTGTATCTGAATGTGACAATAAAATCAACACAAGCTTAGGACAGATGACAGACTTTAGGCCTTCTGGCAAATCAGTGTCAAACTGTGTACAGTGTCAGGAGAAATCCAAGCAATTGTTAGTAGACCAGAAGATAGGTCACAGAAAGACGAGTGGACGTGGTCTAGTGGACATTTTGGACTACTCACCCGAGTTCAGTTACACAGAGGTACTCTGCACTCTAGAGATATCAGATTTTATCTGAACATGTGAACATTTTTCATTACTTTCTGTTTCATTGTTCTGTTACAGGGTGGATCTAAGTTGTTATTAATTGGTCCCTGGACAAAAGTTTCCTCCACTTACACTTGTGTGATAGACAATGAACCAGTACAAACAACACTCCTACAGCCAGGTGTTCTCAGGTGTTACACACCAGGTAATTTACACATGCATGTACAAGGATTGTCCCTAAATTCTGTAGTAGACTGAGCTCATATCTTTTACAGGAGTAAATGTATTTTTATAAAATTCCTGGGTGGATAAAGTGTGTTGTTAGTTGATATTATTATGAAGTTTTAACATGATTACTTGAAAACAATTAAGTAATAAGAATTATAGTGTTATTATTCCCTAACTCCTGGAGCATTGTCCTAGGTCAGAAAAGATAAATGTCACCAGTTCAGATTTAGGGGGAAATACAGTTTTACCAGAATCAATCAAATTATTTAATTTTTCTTACAGATTCTTATACACAAATAAATATTTATATTTATAAATAATAAATAAATATTTATAAATAAATTTAAAAATTAAATATATAAGAAAAAATTAAATAAATAAATATCTTAATTATTATAAAAGGATTTAATATTAAAATTTATGAAAAAGTATGTGTATGTACATGTTTAAATATTTATGATTTTAAAAATCCTAGGTTTCTAAAGATTATTCTGCTGCCTAATCCAATGGAATTGCACAATTTTGTCTGATTCTTAGACAAATTGCAGTATTTTCTTGCAAGAATGTTAAAAGAGAATTCTTTTTAACAGCTCATGATAAGGGTTGTGTTCCTGTGTACATCAGCTGTGATGGCAAGACTCTGTCTCGACCTGTTCCATTCTTGTACAAAGAAAACCCAGAGCACAAGCCCTGCTCTCGATTCTCCTGGTTCTCAGTTGCAGGTAGCTGTCTTAGTATTCTTCATACTGTTGATGTCAAACTTCCCAACCAATCTTGTGACAACCTATAGAAGAAAATCTCTAACATATAAATTCCCAAAAAGAAAATTTGTTAATGTCATTTCAAAATTATGCCTTTACATGTATAAAAATTTTAAGAAAGTTTCAAAGCCACTTTGATTCTTGTATTCAAAAGAAAAATTTATCTTGCAGAAAAAGATCTTAAGACCTTGTTGGTGGAGCGACTTGTGCAATTAGAGAAGCGTTTGACACAGTCTCATTACAGAAATGGACCTGTTCCTTCCCTCCAACAGGTAATAAGCTTCTCACAGTCCCTTCACAAAGACACACTTATCTCTTCGCTTCAACAGGTAATGGCCCTGTCACAGCCCCTTCACAAAGACACACCTATGATTTCTCTCTAACAGGTCACAGTTCTTTCACAGAGTCATACCTATTCCTTCTCTCCAACAGGTAATGACCCGTATAGTCCTTTCAACAGGTAATGACCCTGTCATAGTCTTTCCAGCAGATGATGACCCTCTCATAGTTATCCAACTGTAAATTAGTATGTCACGGTCCCTCACAGAGACACGCCTATCTCTTCTCTCCAACAATTAAAGACCTTTCTATCAGGTAATGAACCTGTAATAGTCCGTCGTACAGTTATTGAGCCTGAAGCAGTCCCTTCCTTAACAGGTAAAGAGTCTGTCAGAGTCCTTCCAACAGGTAATGACCCTGACATAGTCCCTCTACACAGATGAAACTGTCCCTTCTCTCCAACAGGTAGAAAGCAAGTCCATGAGATGGACCTGTCCCCATCAACCACCAAATAACAGCCTCTTACCACTATCAAAAGAGGCTTATCCCTTCAAATTTTGTCAAAAGTTAATAAACCAGTCTCCCTACAAAAATGAACATTTGAAAGGTAATGACCCTATAGGATCCCTATTACAGGGAAGTTTTTATCTCCTCCTTTTAACAGGAAATGAAAAGTACAATGAATAATGTTTTGTCTGATATTATATTTTGCTCTGATTTTTAGTGATGTGTTCATACTTTATAGGCTAGTGAAGACTTAGTGGAGAGCTCCGATTTAGAAGGAAAGCTACTCTGGTACATCAAAATGTTTTCTTCTGGGACCTGGAGTGACACAGAAAGCTTTCCACAGTGCAGTAAATATGGAATGACCTTACTTCACCTAACAGCAGCATTAGGGTTCTCCAGAGTGATTCAGTCATTATTGCAGTGGAGGTAGAGACTCAGATTTCTCCCTGTTAGAACATAATATATGATTATGTTTATATCTTATTTATGACAATGTTACAGGAAGTAAAAAAAACCTTAATGCATTGGTATAATCCATACACTGATAATTTTGTCTGTTCTGGAAAATATTTTGTTCTATAAACAAGTTTATATAGTTATGAATAAGATACACGATATTTTAAAAGGTATAAATCATAGCACAGAACTAATAAAGAAAGCATTTTACCACATTATTTTAAATAGATATGAATAGTTTCCCATCCAAAGTACATGTGCTAAAAATGATAGAACTTTTGTAAACAGGACAAGTAATCCATGCTGGTTCTTGGATTATGAAGTGGATGCTAATTGCTTGGATGAAAATTCTTGCACTGCTCTAGTAAGTCCTGCTGTCTTGTCAACAATTTTAGATTTTCATGATGTACATCTACATAATACAAATGATCAAGAATGATTCTTACAGAAAACCAAACATTGGAGTTGTAAAGCTGGCATTTGTATTTGACTTTGCCTCTTCATGTTCTTTACAGATGTGGGCTTGTGCCAAGGGCCACCAACAGGCAGCTATTGTTTTGTACCAGTGGAATTCCGACACACTTAAGGTGTCCACAAAGGATGGCTTTACCGCTTTAAACTTTGCTCAAATATTTGGCCATCACCAGATATATGGTCTATTACACAAATACCAGACTGCCCTTATAAGCCCTTCCCAAACTGCTGGCTCAGTTGACACTGCATTCCCCTTATGCCCTCAGGCCCAGTCCAACCACAATCTCTTCAAGCAGCCCCACCTTAATGGGATGACCTCATTACACATTCAGATACCAAATCCACCCCAGCAACAAGGCTTTTTGATCCGCCGACAGAGTGAACAAGATCTGAGAGGGAAAGTTGCACGCAAGAAGCTTAGCAAAAGAGCTTCTGTGGATCTACCAGCCAACTCTGATGAGGGAAGAGCAACCAGAGCTGGTTCCTATGAATATCCAATCAGAGAAACAAATTCTGAGCCCTATTTACCCATGGCAACAGATCACCCAATGACCAGGGGAGATAATCCAATGCTGTCTGATAACAATAGAGATATTATGTCCCCTGATCTGATGGTGAACTCAGAAATTGACCAATTAAAGCGGGTCAATCTGGATAACATGGATCCCAGTTCAGTATCCATTATACAAACAACCTTAGGCTACACAAAAATGGATACAGGTACAGTATTTCATACCAAATATTTGCTTACCATATAATTTTTTCTCAAATCTTATGAATGATTGGTCAGCTATGATGTTTCTGAAACACTCTTCCTGAAGAATTTTCAGACTCAGAAAATGGAATCAATTTTTTTTTCTATTTGAAGATGAAGTTGAGTCCAGCACCAGTGGAAGCCCTATTATAGATGTGGAGAGAGTATCATCTGATGAGGAATCATACTACCAACAAACTCGCTCCAAGTCACAGTCTATAAGTAAGGAATATCACATACCACTTACTGCAAGTCACAGTCTATAAGTAAGAAATATCACATATCACTCACTCCAAGTCACAGTCTATAAGTAAGAAATATCACACATCACTCACTCCAAGTAACAATCTATAAGTCACAGTCTCTAAGTAAGAAATATCACATATCACTCACTCCAAGTCACAGTCGATAAGTAAGAAATATCACATATCACTCACTCCAAGTCAAAGTCTATAAGTAAGAAATATCACATATCACTCGCTCCAAGTCACAGTCTATAAGTAAGGCACATACCACTTACTGCAAGTCACAGTCTATAAGTAAGAAATATCACATATCACTCACTCCAAGTCACAGTCTATAAGTAAGAAATATCACTTATCTCTCACTCCAAGTCACAGTCTATAAGTAAGAAATATCACATATCACTCACTCCAAGTCACAGTCTATAAGTAAGATATATCGCATATCACTCACTCCAAGTCACAGTCTATAAGTAAGAAATATCACATATCACTCACTCCAAGTCACAGTCTATAAGTAAGGAATATCACATATCACTCACTCCAAGTCACAGTCTATAAGTAAGGAATATCACGTATCACTCACTCCAAGTCACAGTCTATAAGTAAGGAATATCACATATCACTCACTCCAAATCACAGTCTATAAGTAAGGAATATCACATATCACTCACTCCAAATCACAGTCTATAAGTAAGGAATATCACATATCACTCACTCCAAGTCACAGTCTATAAGTCACAGTCTATAAGTAAGAAATATCACATATCACTCACTCCAAGTCACAGTCGATAAGTAAGAAATATCACATATCACTCACTCCAAGTCACAGTCTATAAGTAAGAAATATCACACATCACTCACTCCAAGTCACAGTCTATAAGTAAGGAATATCACATATCACTCACTCCAAATTACAGTCTATAAGTAAGGAATATCACATATCACTCACTCCAAGTCACAGTCTATAAGTAAGGAATATCACATACCACTTGCTCTAAGTAACTCTTCATATGTAAGTTAAACCACCTAGCACTCATTCACAGTCTATGAACTAATCACACACTCCAAGTCGCAGTTAATAAGTTATACCACCTATCACACATTGAGAGTCCCAGTCTATAAGTATCACTTACTTCAAAGTCAAAGTGTGTAAAAGACTCCACAACATCTATTCTACTTGTTATTCATTCCAAGTCGCAGAAGGTTTTACCACCTATCACTCACTCCATGTCACAGTCTATAAGTAAGTTATACAAACACAACTAGCTCTAAGTCATAGGCTTTAAGTTAGTTTTCCATTTAACACACAACTTAGTTTACAGGTACATGTACCACTTATTACTTGCTCTGAGTCACGGTCTGTTAACCCAATGAATCACTTCAAGTTACAGTCTGTAAATAAGTCCCCAGCCAGGATGAGCTGTTCAAAAGATTTACATAAGAATATGAATTTTGTACCTACATGTAATCAGAAATTTTTTCTCAAGAAGGCAGATTGTTACAGCTTATTAAATTGTTATGCAAAATACATATACAAGGTTGTTCAATTCTTCAAGACAAAGATGATCCATAGTAAAGACTCCAAGTTTCTTAAGTAATTTATGGTAAAGCATTGCCCCTGTTATCTCAGGAAGAAAAAGGGTACAGTTTGTCAAATTCATGCATGAATGATTTATGTGTTTATATACTATGTAATCAAGGTGATGGTTACTTATCCTGTTTTGATATGTAATTTTGTTCTAGGCTCAGACAACTGTGAGGATGTCAAACTTCAGATGATGACATTGGCCAAACAGATCATTGCTGCCATGCCGGAGCGTATTAAGCTCTCTCCTAGTCGTGGTGATGAAGTGGCACCAGAGCGAGAACGATGTAGTTCCTACAGCTCTCTGCAGTCTCAATCATCACCCAATACATCGTCTTATGAGGAAGACTCCGGAATCTCAACCCCAATGGGAGACACTTTCTCTTTTGATGATTACAGGCATGTATTTCAGTCAGAGGCTGGTGATTGTTTATTGAATTTGTATGTTTTTTAGTTGATTTAATTATCACCTGCATAACCTTAAATATAAAACTGAAACTTTTCAACAATTACATGTATTTACTTGTTATGAAATACATGTTACAAGTTTGCAGTTTTGAAAATTATTTCAGTATGCATATCTATAGAACAACTTCTGAAAAAGTTGGTTTCAATATCAGAGATGTTTATAGTTATTAATTTCTAATGTTATATACAAAGCAACATATTTTTCTGCTGCTTGAAACTAAATAAGTATTCAAGCTTAAATGAGCTGTTTTACTCTTTGCAAATGAAATATGATGAAGAATGTTGAAGTTTGGGGAATGCTTGCTTCTTTCATATTGTGTGATGAACTTGACATTTCTGATCTGCTTCTTGATAAAAGCTGAAGCCTCACCCCAGAATCAGTTGATCCTTGGTGACACCAGTTGATAGACTCTTGGAGTCCCACCAACCTCTTTATTTTTCCAATCTGTTTATAATTCAATCTTTACATGCCCCTCTTATTTGATCAGGGTTATAGGTGATCAAACATCAGGACCATGAAAAGATTCAATTTTGAGATATATAAAATTGTAGCCTTTCCTCGATGACTTGCAAAGATAAAACTGGTATGTCTCTAAATTAAATTTGACTGTTATGTTCTTCTTACATAAGATATGCATATAGTATACATAATGGCATATTTTCTCTCTTTACTACACCACATTTTAAAAACTGTGTGTGTTCAACAAAATAATCTTAGACATAGTAAGCAGCAAAGTGTTTAGTTAGTTATTGGTATGTACTGTGCTTTATTCTTTGAACATTCAGTTTTTTGATTGGCTGTTTGTTGCATCACATCTTTTGTGTGCAAATGGTGGGCGGATATTCAGCTTATGAGAAGCATATTGCAATCATCAATTATGCCATGCCCCAAGTCTCAAAGTACTTCATTGTATTAAATGTGCATCAATTAGAAATTACAAGAAGTATAAGTTTAATAGAAAAAAAATTAATATTAACTTTTGTAATCAGGTTTGATCATGAGAATGATATTATGTTTGAGTGTGGAAAAAAATAGATCTTAAAAAAATGTTAACACCAATTTTCAAATTATTTGAAATGTACATATTATTTTTTTTTTTTGTTGTTGACTTTTTGCTACATTGTATGTTTGTATTTGACAGGTACCCTGACCTGGGGACACCTGCCTCCTCCCTCAGTCCAGACTCCACCTGTATGCCCAGCCCCTACAGTCCCTACAGCTTCACCCTGGATTCCCCACCACCCACCACAGAAGATTTCACAGAGTACTTTAATGCCCCTACCACTTTTATGGAGAAAGACTTCTCACAGCTCACACTTTCAGGTAATGCTTGTAACTTGGCCCCCCAAAAGATTTTCTTAAAATACACTCACAGCCATATTGGATTACTGTATACAGGGTTTTTTTTCACCCTTTCACACTTGCAAACAATTTTCCATTTTAAATTTACCCAGTCACAGTTTTGTTTAAGATATTATACTGTGTTGTTTGAATTCGCCCCATTTTAAATTTGCCCACCTGTGAGTAGGGCGAAAATAAAAACAGGGCAAAAATTTCTCGTGTACAATAGTACATGGTATTACTATTGTTTAAATACATGTATACCTGTAAGCAAAGTGTCATTTTGAAAACCCACAGAGGATATAATTTTATTGTTAAACTGAGAAGAAATTTGACTTCCAATTTTAAAATTTAATTGTGATGATGTAATCTTTTGGATGCTTTCTTTGGTTTTAAGCTATGTGTTAATCATATAGTATTTAGGTTCATTTGATTGGTTTGAATTTGAGATTTTCCTGTTTAGGTAAATCAATTACATGTATCTGTGATACCCTTTTTTAATAGGGACACCGAAGCAAGTACAATGCAGGACTTTGAAATAAGTTTGTAACTATTGTAGACAAAGAGCAGAGGAAGCTGTATGAGGCAGCAAAGGTGATTCAGAAGACGTACAGACAGTACAGAGACAAGCAACAACTACAACAGCAACAACAAAAGGAGATTGAGGCTGCCGTACTGATACAGAAGTATTACAGGAGATATAAACAGGTCAGGGTTAAATAGTAGTATTACAAGAGATATAAACAGGTCAGGGTTAAAGATAAACAGGTCGAGGTTATACTGAAATACTACAGGAGATATTAACAGGTCAGGGTTATACAGAAATACCATAGGAGATATAAACAGGTCAGGGTTAAACAGAAAAATCAAAAGAGATTTAAACAGGTCAGGGTTAAACAGAAATACTACAGGAAATATAAACAGGTCAGGGTTATACAGAAGTATTACAGGAGATATAAACAGGTCAGGGTTAAATAGTAGTATTACAAGAGATATAAACAGGTCAGGGTTAAAGATAAACAGGTCGAGGTTATACTGAAATACTACAGGAGATATTAACAGGTCAGGGTTATACAGAAATACCATAGGAGATATAAACAGGTCAGGGTTAAACAGAAAAATCAAAAGAGATTTAAACAGGTCAGGGTTAAACAGAAATACTACAGGAAATATAAACAGGTCAGGGTTATACAGAAGTATTACAGGAGATATAAACAGGTCAGGGTTATACAGAAGTACTACAGGAGATATAAAAAGGTCAGGGTTATACAGAACTAGTATTACAGGAGATATAAACAGGTCAGGGTTAAAGATAAACAGCTCAAGGTTAAAGATAAACAGGTCAGGGTTATACAGAAATACTGAAGGAGATATAAACAGGTCAGGGTTATACAAAAGTACTACAGGAGATATATATAGGTCCGGGTTATACAGAAATACTACAGGAGATGTAAACAGGTCAGGGTTAAAGATAAACAGGTCAGGTTTATACAGAAATACTGAAGGAGATTTAAACAGGTCATGGTTATACAAAAGTACTACAGGAGATATATATATAGGTCCGGGTTATACAGAAATACTAACAGGAGATATAAACAGGTCAGGGTTATACAGAACTAGTATTATAGGAGCTATAAACAGGTCAGGGTTAAAGATAAACAGGTCAGGGTTAAAGATAAACAGGTCAGGTTTATACAGAAATACTAAAGGAGATATAAATAGGTCAGGGTTAAACAGAAGTATTACAGGAGATATATATAGGTCCGGGTTATACAAAAATACTACAGGAGATATAAACAGGTCAGTTGACTTAAGATTGAGGTTAAGTATCAGTAAAGAAATATTGGATCTGACCAATATTTTCTGGATAAGTGACTAGATTAAAGTTTAGAGCAGGCCCATTCCCAAGTTACTGTTATTGTCCTTAGGTGACCCAACCTGCATGAATGCATTGCTACCAGACATGTTTCGGATGCTGGATCTGACCTACATTTTCCATTTGATTGACTTGTTTAAAGTTTTTGGAGCAGGTCATTCCCAGATAACTATAAGTCCTATGGTAATCAAATTTGCATGGATGATGCATTAAGAGATACACACTGCCACAGTTGCTTTGGATGCTGGATATGATTTACATTTTCCAGATGTTTAAACAGGTTAAAGTATTGGGAGCAGGTCTATTTGGGAGAAATATAAATCCAATCCAGACAAAATTTGCATGGATATTGGTATGCAAAACCAGAACATTCTCAGTGGTATGAGACTTTGCCTTCACTTATAGATAACATTTGTTGAGGCAAGCTTCATAATCTTTGATTACCTATGTTTTAAGAAAGATACCATTTAGATGACACATTATGAGGGAGGGTTGCCTTTTACAATGCTGTTATTGGTTTTGCACCAGAAAATAAAGACCAATGTTTGTTATTGTACCCTGTGGAAATGTATCTTTATTTCTATTTAGTATGCCTATTACAAAAAGATGAGTCAGGCTGCTGTTCTGATTCAGAGTCAGTTCAGGAGTTATTATGCCCAGAAGAGGTTCAAGAAATCCCGAGATGCAGCAGTGGTTATACAGAACCAGTATAGAACATATAAAGAACATGAGCGTCTTAAGAAGGGTGGCAACAAGTCTGTGATAATCCAACAACGATACAGGTAAACACTTCATACAAATGGATACAGTGTCTCATTTTGTACAAAATATACGAGAACAGACATATTTGTTATGCAGACAAAATATATTATTTCAGGTATTTTTGACTGTAAATATATTCATTTGTACAGATTTGTATTTCTCACAGTTTAGCGTCTGTTTTAGGAGCCACTATCGAAGGAAAAATGTGAAGGGACAAAGTGCAGAGGATCATGTGATTCCAGTGGTGCCGGACTCCGCAGAGAGGTAACATGACTTAAAAATCAAAGTAGTAAGAGAACTTACTAATCTCCTGAAGTGTTAGAAATAGCCAATACAAATTGTAATCTTGTGCATAAGCATTAATCATTACATTGAATACAAGGCTTCAAAGTTGAAATGTAGGAAAATTCATAGATAACTCTCATGCTTTTAAAAAAAAGTGCTGTATATGGTACACGTTTCCACTGTTTATTCTTTCCAACTAAATACACATTATTTATTGCCAAGGTTGGAGAACAAAATGAATTATGTAATGTTTTAAAACTTAATGAGCCAGTATATGTTTATCAATTCACCAAAATGCAGAATGTTTTACCAAACAATCTGAAAATCAGGTTTAGAATAATGAGCCATTGACAAAGTCACTTCATCATAAAGAAAACCTTATTAAAACTGTGTGAACTCTTGACCTTTAATGCACAGTAGTGAGCTGTGGAAGTTTGTGCATGTTCGCAGGGTAGGTAACTAATGTTAATTGTCGTCTAATCACTGTTGTTAACTATATTTGTTATGTCTCTCATTTGACCTTGACAATATAACCTTTTTTATCTCATTTCTGTTGTCCTTATTATGTCTGTAATTGAAGACAAGTCTCTGTCATCGTACAGTTTGTAGAAATTTCAGCAGAAATTGTTTATTGCAAACTTTAACAACCTTTGAATTTTACTCTGCCATAAGATAGTCAAGACCAGAGTGACAGGGCTTTTTATAATACTTATTGTCAGCAGACTTCCAATTCTAATTCAATAAAGACATTTACTAGGTTGATGACATAGAATGTTGTGTCACTAAAGCTAGAGTAATCATCTCTCATTCCTCCCTGATGCCTTGTTGCGGATCACTCTTGCATGTTGACATTTTCCCATTTTGCGAGTGGCATGTTGTATAGTTAACACTATGGAAATATTCTGTTTCAGAATTGTTATGCATTGAACAAGGTATATTTTTGTGCCTATCTTAGCATTTGTTTTATGCTTAACACCCTTCACTGTGCACTTAATTTATAGACCTCGGGCTTAGAAAATCTTTTTCTCTTTTAACACACATAAGTGTGCATTCTATAGACTTAAAGCTTCAAGTGTGCCTATCTTCCTGTGAAGTGATAGTATTTTACTAAATGCAAGGTTTTATTAGGCTTCATGATATATGAATTTAAATCATTCACATGAGCAAGCTTTTAGCAATTTCATCTAGCTATTTTACTACTGCAAAATTCAAATTTAATGCAATTCTCTGACTTTTTTTTTCATTTTCCATTGTTATGAAGAAATTTCATGCAAATAGTAACAATATAGAAAAGAAATGGAATTCAGATTATATCAGAGTTGTACCAAGTAGAGCTTTAGAGATTTCTTATTCATTGAAAGCACTTAGCACATTTCTGTTGAGTCTTGGGGGGATTCTCTTTTGAAGCACACAAAAAGATGCTACTGTAGTGCCTATTTTAAGGCAAGCTACATTTATTTATTGAATAGATAAGCACATGTACATACAAATGTAGACTGGAGTAAAACCATCACTACAAATACATATAACTTATGCTAATATTAGAAAATACATTTTTCTACTATTCCCCCTAATGTAACATTTTTTTTTAACTTATATAAGAATTTATGCACATCTTGATTCTTAAAATACATAATTAAAACTTCATTATAAAAGGTAAACTATGTATTTTACACCCCCATCTCGCTAATGATATAGTGCAATATAAATTAATATATATTATATATAGTAGTACATGTATTTATGTTATGATTTTGTAGCTCTCCTCCAGACCAAAACAACACAATATCCGACACAACAAAACAGCCAGACGATAAAACGCCACCTGATGGAGGGGACGAGCAGCAAGAGAACAGCAATCAAACAAGGGACAGATAACTCATGGTGACCAAGGAATCTCCTATCATTACATTCATAATTGTTCCATTTTCATTGCCCTTCTTTACTAGACTTTCGGATATTTTTTTTTGTCTGTAAGAAATCATTCTTCCAGATACAAAAAAGTTGTATCTAAATACTACTTTGATTTGACTTTCCAGTCTATTTTAGCTCTTAATATCATATGTTTGTGAGATTATCAGTGTGTATTTCACTGGAGTTTGTCAGTGATATATATTCCAACTAAGTAGCTTAGAAGGCAATGCCAAATACATGTATATTTTGAACAAGTTTTTGGTTAATTTATGTATGCAAGTCAGAAAGTATAGCAGCTTAAAAATGCTGGCTTAAGCTTGAAAGAACAATGAAATTTCTCTGGTATTGTCTTTGCTTTGTGCTAAATTAGTTAATAGATTTTCAAGTTTCTTGAGCCTTCTTCCAACTATTTCCTTTTAAAATTTTGGTGATGAATGTTCATTTTAAACAAATAGAATTGGATCAAGTACGTGTATTTTTCTTCTTGTTAGTGTAGAAATTGGGGTCTTTTTATAATTACTATTCAGACAATGACTGTAGGTAGTTTTCAAATTACAATCATAGAAGGTGGAATCAGAGAGATTTATAAAATTGAGATGCGGAAAATATTCTTATTGGTGTCTTAGTTTTGTCAGTATTAATATTCATCCCTCCGTCTTATTATTATTATTCATTTTTTTTATTTTTGGCCTTAGGAATTAACTGCTGTTCCTTCAATGTTCAGTATTCCGTTAATATTTAAATAAAATATTCCCATTTTTTATACATTACAAAATTTATGCCCTTGCGTATAAAGATCAGTATATTACAATGATAGTTTGGTTGAGACATAGTGAAATGTGCCTCTATGTTTGTTTTAATTTTTTTTTTTAACTACAGATACTAGCTTTAATTTATATTCCACAATAGAAGTAAGAAATTTGGAGAAGGCTTAAATTGTTTATATTGTTCTATGGCATGTAGTAAAATTTTCTTTACAATGATGAGGTGATGATGTAACAGTTGTGAATGCAAAGTGAACAACATTTAAACTTTCTAGGAAAGTACTTAATGCAACTACTGTTAAAATTCTCATTTGCCTTTTTTAATATAAATATATATAGATATGTATTAAGAGTTTGATCAATGTCCATAGATGTGAAATGACTGAGTACATTTAGTGCATGAATAGGCTTTTGAATTTGTTATATATTTTTATTGATTATTTATCTTACTTTATTTGTTTAATTATTGCATCATTTTGTTTATTTTGTTGTTGAACATTTATTTGATACAATTTGATATTTTTTGTTCTTTAGTAATTTTTTTTTTTACATATCTCATGTTCAATTGAGCAGCTTTTTCCAAAATATTGAGTGATCCAAAATACCAACTTTAAATGATGTTTTTGAGAGATATCCAGTGTATGAAATCGTTGATTTGTATGTTAGGATAGGGCACTTAATCTATTTCACCCTCCAAAAAATAATACTTCTTTATTAGCATTGTATTTTAATATCTGTTCATCTTGCGTTTTGAATTTTAGGTTATGTTTTATATGGCAAAAATTACAAGAAATACAAAATGTATGTACAACTGTGGCATTTTGTCATTCCTCAAAAAGTCAGCGATGCACAATTAATCAAATGTTAATTACGTCATATTTAAAGCTGTTTGGTTGTTGTTATTTAGCATTGCAGTTTACTGGTTGTACAATGTACAATGTATTTACCTTAATCTGTTAGTGAAATGTAAGTAGAAATAGCAGTGTCAGATCCAGATATTTGGTTTTCTAGCATAACTTACTAGTATTTCAGAGATTAGATAGTGTATAACCTTGAAGTATTTAACCTTGTGAACCTCTCTATATATATACCACCTTCACCATGACCATTCCAGACAGAAATCCTATGTACCCTCCTGTCTCCTATTTAATTACTCTATATATTCCTTTATTTATTTATTAGTTTAGGTTTTGCATGTATTTATTATGATGTATTGTAGGATGATTTGAATAATTATTGCTTGTTATATGGTTAAAATGCATTTAAACTCGGATTCAGATGTACAAGAGTTAATTCCCTTCATTTACCATATGTTAGTAGTGTTAATTTAGATTTTGCTCAATACACATTATCTCTCAACAAATGTCTTACTTACTAAATACCCTTCAGAGATAAATAAATATGCATTGAATAAATGCTGGTACAGACATGTAGTATACAGGTATCTTTGCGGTGTAAAATGCAAAGGGATGTAACTCTTGTCATTTTGAAAGTTTTCAAATAAATACCCTTGCTGTGATAAATAGAAAAAGACTGTTTTGTAGTTTTCTTAAGACATGATGATTATTAAGTGTTTTGTTTTTGGCTCAGTGTTGAATTATCAAAGTGTTTTTGTAGATGCATTGTAATGAATTAGGTAAATTGTTATTTTGTTCAAGACAAAAGTAGAAGAAAGATACATGTATGTATTCATGTTTTCCAAGGCAATTAAATTGTGATTTGTGTATTTTATTGTTATTTACAGTTTTAATATTGAAAATGCTATATATACAGAGATTTGTGATGTTTATTTTTGTTGGGCAAGGAGTTTTAAGCAGTAACCAAATAAGAAGTTGTAACTATGTTTTCACTTCATATGTGTAAATTACAGATGAAATTTTTAATCATTTCAGTAGGTTGAAGTAGACATTAACTCAATAAATTTTTCCATAATCTCTTTCCTTAGTAGTACATAAACAATGTAAGGGGAGAATCTTGATTGGATAATCAGATACCTGTTTTACCAGGGTACATTTTACACAGTATATCAGTTATAATCACCTGGTGAGGACATTTATCAACACTGTTCAAAGCATTTTCCTCTATTAATTAGTTAAAAAGTTCTGATCTATTTTTCATAAGAATAAATTATCAGGATTAAGCAAAAGTAGGAATTAAAAAAGGGGAGGAAATGGAGGCAACAATCTGGCATATTACATTTGGTATTACAGCCAGTACCAGTTGTATGTTAGTAAGATGTATCAAGTGACATAACAACATGAGTTATCCCAGCATACTCTTGCTAAATCAAAATCTCATTCTCTGAACTACTTTTCAAATACAGAAGATATTACCCTGGTAGTAAAAAGTAAATAGTGATCGACTTACAGAAGTGATGAGAAATTGTACTTGGCAATATTTGGTATTTTCTAAAACAGAAAATGTAAAAAAGTACTAATATGACTTTTATGAAGTTTTTTTGTCAAAATTGTACACTTGTAATGATGAATTGTTTTTGTATGATGCTTGAGAATCAAGTTGCTTTCTTATTAAGAGTAAAAATTGTTACAAACTGTCTATATTAATGTTTCAAAATATTTTGTCCTTTGATACATGTTGTCTTTGTTGCTTCAAGAGTCAGTTTTAATGTAGAGGATAAAACCCTCAGCATTTTGAGTCCCTCCCATTCTTAGTATGTTATAGCTGTATTGTCAATACATGAATTGTATTATGTAAAGTTTGCAACGGAAGCTAGTAAGAATTTTCAGAGAATTGTTTTTATCAAGTGATGACTTGGTGTTAATTACATTTTAGTAGCAGCTGTTATTGATATCTATAATAAATTTTATGACCCCTTATTGATTTTTATTGTATTTTAAAACTTGAAATGCTGGCTGAGAAGACATTTTATTGTCTTTCTTTCTGCGGGAGAAGATCTGACATTTTATTCTTGTCTTTTTTCTGCATTAGAAGCTTTGTCACTTAAAGCTAATTAAATTCATTCTGTAACAGGATTGTAATGCTTTTATATGAAAGAGTACATAGTGATCATTTATTCTTGAATAAGTATGGACCATGACAGTGATCAGAACCAAAGTCTATGACATTTTAAACATCTTAAAGCTTGATTTAAAAAAAAAATTGATGACATCTACAAACGATCCACTTTTCATTTTGATCAGAATAAAAATGAGAACGCCGAATTATAAATAGAACAAGGGGTTTATGCAGTTTTGTTTTTTGTTTGTTTGTTGTTGTTTTTTGGGGTTTTTTTTTTTTTTTTTGCTTATTTCTCTGACATTAGAAAAGATAGTCAAGAGGTGAATATATTTAGGATGGCAAGGTCTAGTTACCTAGCAAGATCTCTGCACCCTTGTTGGAGTTACGGCCCCTGAAATGTCAAATTCTGATGATAAGACAGATTTTATTTGCATTATTAGTTTAACATGCATTTTCAAAAATCTTCCCAGAAACTTAATTTGTCATTTTTTTCTGGGACTTTCATGTTTTTAGCTCACCTGAGCTGAAAGCTCAAGTGAGCTTTTCTGATCACCCGTCGTCCATCCGTCTGTCTGTCCGTCTGTAAACTTTTCACATTTTCAACTTCTTCTCAAGAACCACTGGGCCAATTTTAACCAATCTTGGTATAAAGTATCCTTGGGTGAAGGGGAGTTTGAATTGTTAAAATAAAGGGCCAAGTCCCCTTACAAGGAGAGATAATCCAGAAAAGACAAAAATAGGGTGGGGTCATTAAAAAATCTTCTTCTCAAGAACCACTGGGCCAGAAAAGCTGAAACTTAAGTGGAAGCATCCTGGGATAGTGTAGATTCTAAATTGTTAAAATCATGACCCCCGGGGATAGGGCGGGGCCACAATAGGGAATCCAAGTTTTACATTGAAATATATAGGAAAAATCATTAAAAATCTTCTTCTTAAGAACCACTGGGCCAGAAAAGCTGAAACTTATGTGGAAGCATCCTGGGGTAGTGTAGATTCTAAATTGTTCAACGCAGCTCTGTTAAGGCTGCATAAAGGGGGCGGGGCCTAATTTTACGGGAAAAGTTTACTGTGACATCACACAAATATAGCAATTCCTCACAATAACAGAAAATGAAATAATTTGCGAATCTAAACTGCATAAGAGTAATGAACTACATCAAAACTTACCACTGCATTCATTTTTGTCGCTAGTTAAATCCCACACAGCAAGATATAAACAAGTCACTGATCGCAATGCACTTGTCGACATGACGTCATCATGGTAAAGTTTGACGCATTTTTTGTGCAGTGAGAGGCGGATCAAGTAATTTTTTCACAGTGAAAAATGCATTTTATTATTAAACAGAATATTATTTGAAAATCTTAGGTAGACCATTAATACAAATCTGAAACATTTGTTTAGTGTCATTATTTAAAAACTATCGAGAGAATGTATTGAATTAATTCTACCGTGTTTTTGTCTACAGGGTGTGCATGTTTCACGCCGAGGTGCCTCATTAAATCGCCTTTTCGCAAGGGCATACACTTCATAGATCTTGACCACTTTTTGAATACATATAATGGACATATTCCTTAACTTGAAAAGTGCTGCTGCTTTCCTGAAATCGATAGCATAACTTAATAAATACATAAAATACTTTGTAAAGGTCACACATATTTCGACATTAGCAAGATAACATGAAATTTAAACTAATAAAATGCGAATTCTATTTAAAGCAGCAGCACTTTCCATAAACTACAAGTTATGTAGAAACAATCTATTACTTTGATTTTTAATTTTAACTAGGGTATGCCCTTGCGATATTGAAATTTGTTTGTGACCTACATACAGTACACATTACATGCATTTATCACGTGACTATCAAATAACGTGACCAAACCAAATTCAGTTCAGAGCGAGGTATACAATGTTATTTCAAAGAATGTTAAAGTCATAAGATAATGTAGTACCTTTACAAAATTAAATTCATTTTAAAAAGGTATGCATTTATACACGTTTATATTCTGTTGATTTCTTCGAAGTACGCCTTAACACTGCTGCGAAATCATGACCCCCGGGGGTAGGGCGGGGCCACAATAGGAAATACAGGTTTTACATTGAAATATATAGGAAAAATCTTTAAAAATCTTCTCAAGAACTACTGAGCCAGAAAAGCTGAAACTTATGTGGAAGCATCCTGGGGTAGTGTAGATTCTAAATTGTTCAAATCATGGCCCCCGGGGGTAGGGCGGGGCCACACTAGGTATTACAAGGGGGAAGTCTGGTAATGAACAGCATGGCCAAAGTTACTCAGGTGAGCGATGTGGCCCATGGGCCTCTTGTTATGTAAAGCATATCTTCTTCAAAAGTTCCATTTTTCATGCTGATCCAATGTAAAACAAGGCTATTGTTACTCTAAGGGTGATATGCAGCTTTTTGCTAATATCTCGGAAATAAAAACAGATAGGAAGAATCTGGCAAGGGTGAAAATTATCAGTAGACAAGATTAAGCTGGAAGTTATGACCCCTGAAATGTCAAATTTGGATGATTCTTGCAGTTTTTGACTTCTTGAAAATTATTGGATCTGAGTTATATAACTGTAATAACAAAATCAAATGGTACATTTAAGGCCTGTATATCTACCAAATTTCATTAATGTTTTATCCCAAATTTTGGAGTTATATGTTTATACCCTGAAATATTTCAAGTTATTTGTGTAGTTTTTGGCTGCATTATTACACTAAATTATATGATAGATGAAAACTGTAAAAACAAAAATGGATAACAAGACAACATCAATATATTTCGCAAAATCTATAGCTATCTTATGGTGGCATATTTATGCCATCCACATAATTTTTGTCAACGAAAGATATCGCATCAAGTCGAGATAGCAATCTCGTCAGATCAAGACAACTTGCTGGTTTTGTCGAGATACACCAACTTCTATGTCGTCTAGTTAAGATAAGCTATCACATTTTTTTGTGATAGTTATGTCGACATAACGAGATAATAAATCATGTATCATGACTAAGATTAATGTGTTGACAAGTACTGCCTCTTCGATAACTGTATATGTACATGTACATATACTAGTATATAAATAGATAACGTGTTACTGGTGCCTAGGTCATTTTCCAATGAAATAGGTGGATATCTTCTATCAAAATGTTACTCTAATACGTATTGCACGCATAATTTCAAAGGAACTGTGTGTTCAAACCGTGTCTTTGTTTTCAGTAAAATAAAATAAAAGTACGTGTTAACCACAGCAATGAGCTTTTAAAATTACATGTAATATTTGCAATTATTAATTCAATAAATTTCCTATTCAATTAAATAAGCGATTTTTGTTTTTAACAGAGATCAATACTTGGCTATAATATTATAATCGGTAGTTTTTAATAAATGATTGACTCTTTGTATTAATTGTTATACTTATGCCATTCCAGTAACTTAGAAAAGACTAAAAATGGAAACAACGAATTAAATAAATAGATTGTTTTGTTTCATATTTAACGGCGAAAGTTTATGAAACGGTTTATATTCAAAAATCTTTAACTCTTAAAAATTATATTCCTCCAATAGACAAATACAAAAAAATAAATTGATTCAATAGCAGTGATGAATCAATAAAAGAGATCGGCACAGTTTCACTGGAAATCGACTAAAACACCCGTAACACGTCATCTTTATAAATACATACATACATATATACAGTTATCGTGACAGCAATTACGAAGAGGCAGTACTTGTCAACGCAACAATTTTAGTCAGGATACAAGATAAATAATCTCGTCATATCGAGATAGCTATTGCAAAAAAATGTGATAGCTTATCTTGACTAGACGAGATAGAAGTTGGTGTATCTCGACAAAACCAGCAAATTATCTTGACTTGACCTGATAGTTATCTTGACTTGACGCGATATCTTATGTTGACAAAATTTATTTGGATGGCATAAATATGCCACCATACTATCTAATCATCAGTTCTGATATTGTTATCCCCTGAACTGTCAAAGTTTTCTGAATTTTGGTTTGTAGTCCAGACAAGTATTGAAGATTTTTAATTGGCTATAGGCAATTTTTGCTCCAGGACACATATTTTGTGTGTTGTGTCCTAGTACCAATCAGTATATAGATTTTTTTAGTCTCCTGTGAAAACAGAAACAGCTTCATCTCTTCAACAGCTTCATATCTGAAAATAGATTTTTTTTTATTGGGGGGGGGGGAGGAGGGGTCTAATTAACTTCAACACAGGTTACTTATGCATGCATTTGTACTGGAATTGAACCACTTACATGTACATAATATGAGGTAACTATGGTGTCCGGATAGGGCCTTTTGCAAAAGCTCAACAGCGCGTTCAGAAAAACACGCCATCGCGCTAACACACAACACGCCATCACCCTAACACAATTATACAAAACACGTCATCGCGTTTGTACACAACACGCCGTCGCGCTAACACGCTTTTAAACAACACGCTGTTGCGCTAACACAACTTCACACAAAACGCCGTCGCGCTAACGCAACTTTACACAACACGCTGTCGCGCTGTCACACAACTCGCTGACACAACTTTGTGATAGCGCGACGGCGAGTTGTGTGTTAACGCAACGGCGTGTTGTGTGTTATAAGCGCGACGACGTGTTGTGCGAACTTCTGTTAGCGCGACGGCGTGTTGTGCGAACTTGTGTTAGCGTGACGGCGTGTTGTTCAATGATGTGTTAGCGCGATGGTGTGTTGTGTGTTAGTGTGACGGCGTTTTGTGTGTTAGCGCGACGGCGTATTTTTCTGAACGTGCTGTTGAGCTTATGCAAATGGCCCTATCCGGACACCATAGGTAACATACCCAAGTTGTGTATATAATTA